GGTAGGCGTGGTTGACTCTTAACTTTTATAAAGAATATCTCTTTGGATTTGAGACTTTAGTCTTTGCAACTTTACAGATCTTCTTTATGAACAAAGAGCTTGTAACACTCCAAAGAGAAAGGAAAAATTGAAATCGCATCATATGACCCCTTTAAAGGGCAGAACTCATTTAGGCCTCATCCAAAGCTTTTTCCTCCAGTCTACTGCAAACACATCAGCTCCAACTGTGCCCACCTCCTAAGCCCCTCCAAACTCTGTCTTCATGAAAGTAGGTCTATTTTTACCAACACGGCGCACCTGAAAATGATATTGTGGAGTGTAAGGTTAAGACTCTTACTCTAGATGATGTATGAGTGGAGCATTTATCACTGTAAACTCCCTGAACTGAACTGATGTATGGTTCTGTTTGAACCGGGTGTATCTGATATTCCGGTGGTTAATGTTGACTCCAGAGCACTTTTAAGCACTGTCTGCTCTCTGCTGCTCGCCTTTAAATTGACTCAGATGTCTTATTTTTAATTAAATGTGGTCATCACATGAATTCTAGTTTGTAATATATACAACTCATTCAACTGTACTATATTTAATTTTTTATAAAAAGAAGCACTTATTTCTCCATCTGTTGCTTTTTCCTATACTACATAAAGGCAAATATATTGTATTATCTAGATCTATTAATTTATTTAAAACATTAAAATGTAAAACAAAAAAGGAAATGTAATTAAATGTAAGTTTTGATTGAACTATTCTTTTAATAACCTGTAGCTTGACCAGTGATATCACTCTGGCGTTGATTAAAATGGAAACTAAATTATGCTACTTTTCTTTCTTCTTGTGTTTCAGGCAGATTGAGCTGCACTCCTCTGATGCCAAGCACACAATAGTCATGAGACATAAAGACACAGCCTCTGCCCAGACCTGGTTCACTCTCATGCAAACTGCCATCACAAACCTCACCAGCAAAGTCATCTGTGAACTCCGAGAACACGTGGGCCGCCATGGCATCGCCGGGAGTCCAGAGATCCGACACCTCGGATGGCTAGCGGAAAAGGTGCAAACTGGTTGCATACAATTTGATGAATGCAATTTAAAAATTATGATCTTATGCGATATAATGCAGGGTACCCAGTGAACCATTTGCAAAAACCTGAGACCACATTAACATTTATCAAAATGGAAGACAAAATGTTAAATTATTTTTGCATAACTGAATTAATATTTATGAGCTAAGCCTTCGTGATGTCACCAGCCTATCTGTTCCAACTGTCCAGTACATATCAATTCAGCTTGAATTGAATCTGCATGGTAAGAACGTTGAAGTAGATCATCATTAAAACTCATTCTTTCTGCGTGTCTTTTAACCGCATTACAAATTCAAATTTCGTAAAAGTATGCTGTCTAAACCCACAGGGATATCTTAAATAAAACCCAACATTGGCTCAGGGTTTTTGGTTTGATGCAAGTGTTCCACCGTAAAAAGTTTCTGTCATGATAATAATTCTGGATCTGTGAAGACTTTCTACAGTCACTTAAAACTCAGTTTTTAAAATTAGCATAAATGACAGAAAACTGTATGGATGACATTGAGCTTGTTAAAGTGCTCTTGACAGGGATTTTTCCCCCCCAAAAGTAAGAGGTACGACTGGTAACACTTGTAAGTCCATTCAAAAACACAAGATTATTGTGACAGGTAATGTGAACATTTAGTTTAATAATGAAAACATCAAAATGATCTTTCAGTTAAACTGTGGCTTTTAGTATGAAAACAGTCTTAAGGTTATGGTGTGCTCATAAACAATGACAAAATTCACATTTAGTAGATATATGCATTCAGAGATTTGCATTTCAGTTTCAGATGAGATTTTCTGTCCAATCAAATGCTCTCTAGAATCTGAAGCATCCTGCTTCTGACATAATAAAAAGATTCTGCAGTTGCATCTGAAATGGTCACTTGTTCACACATTTACTGTTTCTTTTGTAATGAATTAATGTAATGAGTGCACTATATTGGGTAAAAGGGAGCGATTTCAAACACAGCCTTAACTATGCTTTTCACTGGAGCAAATGTAGCCTGGTTTCCTGTCAGTATCATGTGAAACATCTCAAGCAGTTAAATAGCATTTTAAACAGCTCTGTCACAAGCTGTCAAGTGCAGCTTTTCTGTAGCTGTTATACAAGTGAACCACTATTGATTATTTAAAAAAAGGCACCAACGTTTTCAATGTCACCCAACTTGGCATTTTAATTGGAAATACATCAACACAGATGAAGACTGCACTCATTAGGTCACTCTTTAATTCAATGCATGATACATGCTTCAAATTAGAGCAGAATGAAAGAGTACAGCAATGTAGTCATCACATTACATGAAATAAATTACCCAATCAAATCAGCACCCAATGCCTGCATAACTATCCAATGTGTAATCAGGTGTGATTGGTTTTCACCAATAAAAATGTTCTTTATATATTATTAAGTTGACAATTTTGAGATTTAACAGCGTTTTCATTTTCAAGTTTTTTTGTTGTTGTTGTTTATTTGTCCCTCCCATTGCCCACCTGTTTGATGGACCTCTTGTACACAAATGTAGAACTTTGCAACATCACTTTCAAACAAACTGTAAAGAATCACACAAGCATGTTAAGAGGTCCTGGGTTATACTGTACACTCTGGTTGGAAACATGGCTTGCATTCTGAAAACTGTACAGACAGCTCCTCTGAAGGGTTTTAGTTATTTTTATAAATTCTCAGAAATTGTGGTGCTGGAACGATTGATGGAGGATGACTCTTCTCAGTGTGACCGCAGGTTTTTCCTCCATATTAAATCTCCTTTTCATCGCCGTCCAATTAGCTGAGGCCTGGCAGGGCTGGCTAATAGAGAACTGCAGTGATGGCAGGGCTGTGGGCAGCCCCGTCTCAGCCTGCCCTTTAATGAGAGCTCCCTCGTATCGTCTCCTATTACCAACCTGCCGGCCCCTTGATGAATAATTATATGAGAGAAAAAACCTCCAGTGCACTGAATGCCCACAGACAGCGAGCAGATTTCTTTGTGTGAAGGCTGGAGCTTATAACAAGGGCCTGTTTGTGGTTACGCATCTGCTTCTGACGCACTCGGCCCCACTGGGCTCTCTTTTTAGCCTTAAGGCAAACTGACCCTCTGAAGAGCAGCCCTGTGATTTGTGAAGATTTGAGTGGTCTATCAGGCTATCAAAGCCCTGAGGAGACATCTGTCAGGCTAGCAGGGCTTCAGCAGTAAATCACACTTGGGCTCAACTTAAGGTCTTATTTGGAAAACTTTTTGAACTATTACTCAATTGTAGTGCATGTTTACTTTTGAGCTCATTAAAGTCAATGTATCATTCATAACCCCTTTACTTCCATATTGTGACGGATTTCTATGGACGCTTGCTTCTGGAAGGAAAAAAAAAACATTTTAGTCTCACAATTTTGAGTTCTGAGTTTATATCTCACAGTTTAGTCTTTTTTTCTCGCAGTTCCGATATAGACTTGCAAGATATAAACTCAAAAAAAAAAAAAAATAGATTGCTAGATATTTACTCAGAATTAAGAGATGTAAACTCTGGAATTGCGAGGAAACGTCTGAATTGTATCTCTTAATTCTGAGAAAAAAAATTGTGGGGATATAAACTCAGTTGTGCGGAAAAAAGTCTGAATTGTGAGAGAAATATTTGCAATTGCAAATTTTTGTATTCTGGCTTCCATACATTTCAGAGTGAATATTCAGATTGTTTTGTTTTTCTGTTAAATAACGTGCACTGATGAATCATTCACAGCAAGACAGGGGTGTGCTGATTCAATCATATCAATATATTGCCATTGTTTTTTATCATAATGCACTCATACTTCAGGTTAGAGACCTGCGTGGGACGGATTTTTCCCGCACCCACATAAATATGTTATCTTGTCCCGCTCCCGCACACAACATTCATGTTTTGTCCTGATCCCGCCCATGAAAACCTGCATAAAAGTAGCATATATAGATTTTTTTCAGTACATTCGTGAAATTAACATGAAATAGTAAGTTCTATGTCGCATAGCCACAACAGCATAAACGCTTCCGATAAAATATTTGTTATTAAAGCATTACCATTCACAATCCACTGTTAAAGCAAGCATAGGCTGCTGCGTGCATGGGCATGGTAGAATGCAAGCAAAGAGCGCTCCCTTTATAATCACTGAAGAGCTGACATCTCAGTTCATTGCAATCTCAAAAAAGCTCTTGTTATAACACGATGAATACATGCACAGTGAATCTTTCATGTCTACACTTTGTGTGTTATAATGTGAGGGTTCGTGAGCACGCAAATTTCAGCACTGCACAAGAATTCCAGCGTTTTGAGTTGAGTGTTGATTCTAACTAAAACACCTCTGATTGGCAATTGAAATAAATAAATAGAAAATAAACCTCTGATTGGCATTTACGTTGCAGAAATCAGCAAGTCTGTGATTGGCTGCACTGCTCAACACGTGTTATAAATAGAAACTATGGATATGCTTGCGCCTGTTAATCATTTTTATTTTATATTAGCTGTTCTTGTTGCTTTTGTGCAATAAATGAATAACAATTTTTGTTTTTAGATATTTTATGTTTAGATATTTATATTTTGCGGGAGTCCTGCAAATCATTTTATTCTCCTGCATCCGCCACACACACAGAAGTGTCGTCCCGCATTTTTTGATTTAATTGCCTTTTCATTCATATAATTTTTCAAAGATCAAATAATGAAAAAAGCGGATCTGTCTAAATAAGCATAATCTCTGAAACTTCTCAGTGTTGTCAGAGACACAGAACTGAAGAAAAGTAAAACCATGCAACATTTGAAACTGATAACACAAATTCACTCTCTTCTTGACATGCCTCTCTGTTTTGCTCATATATAATACTTAATAATTTAATAATATAATATATTTAATATTTGCATTTCTTTCTTTACTACTTTAATATATGCATGTATTCATTTTGAAAAGTGATCTGACAGGGCTTAAACATTGCACTATATTTAAATATCCCTAAAAGTGTATATTTGCCTGAGAAGCAATAACAGTTGAATGTTAGGTTACATTTTGCTTAAAGTATAAAATATTTTCCAGTGAGGTTAGAATAGTAAACTTTCAAGATGACGTATTGTTTTGCCTCTCTGGGAAATTTATCTTGTTTTAGGGATGTTTTTAATACAAAACAACAGAGAAGCTTTGCATATGTAAATTATATGCTGATGAGTTTATGCATAAAAAAATCACTATTGTAAGCACCACGTATGGCTATTTTGAGGAGGAGATGGGTAGGGGAACAAAAGTTGTGCATGTACCCACAATCTTGCCCTAACTGGGATAAAGTCAACTCTGTACAGGTCTTATATATCTAAAAACCTGTGTGTGTTTGTACGAGGAACAGGAACTTGCATTAAGACAATAAACAGGGTTCATTTTGAATTAATGACATGATTGCTGACTAAGCTCTTGGAGTTGCTTTGATATGCTTTAAACATTATAATAGTTTTTGAGATCATTTGAAATTTGCATATGGTTTCGCATAAAAATTCCATTAGTATAAAATATGCATATCAGATCACATCACAATCATTTACCTCTGGACATAAGTGCTCATTTTGCTGGTACATCAGTAAAAGTTGAAGAGGCTGAATGGTTTTGAAGCTTTGAGACTCTGTTCTGAAAGTATTTGGAGTCGCCGTGGTTAATCACAGGAAGTGGTCTTAAAAGAGACACACCCCTGAGAGGTTTACCACTTTGACGATGTTAATTAACAAGTCTCTCAGATGAACAAAAGGCTTAATGTCTGCACTCGATGCTTTACACAGGCCTTTGTATGGATAGACAAGGAAAATTAGGACAAAATGTAATTATATGGTACCTGAAAGACTATAAACCAGTTACTCGTGGTGTTTGTGTGTTTCAGACAGAAAGCGAAAGACAGTGCTGGAAGCCGGTACTCGTGATGTTGACGGAGAAGGACCTGCTGCTGTTTGACAGTATGCCGCGCATGAGAGAACACTGGCTCAGCCCGACACACACCTACCCTCTGCTCGCCACACGGTACACACTCACACACAGCATTACTGCTCTCATTTCGCTCGTTCATACAAACACACCTTTAAAAAACCAATCAAGGTACACACACCTGCGCACACCCTTCTGTTTAACACATGCATCTGTACACACACATGCTTTCTGCATGCCAGTTGGCAGTGCTGACCAATTGGGAACTAAAATACACAACTGCAGCCAGTTGGAAAGAAACAGTACAAAAGCATAATGGCTATTAAAGGCCTGTTGAAGCTGTATGAGGTGGCAGCTATTACTGCAAGGGATAGATTTGAAGTCCAAGTTTAACTGGACCACAGCCCAGATCTCACTCTAAGGCTGATAGGGCAGTTATCACAGGCTCAGCTGGCATGTGCTAATGTTTTGTTGACCCCGAGATTGTCCAAAATGGCTTGAAACTTATTTTGGCTTGACTTCCTCTGTAAAATCTTAAATTTCTGTCAAACCAGGCAGCACCGCCAATGGTGAAAACTCCTTGGACCAATCCGGTGCCAGTTTATAGGATGTAACAGTGCCCGCCCACTTTTTCAATGGCCTTGGTTCCTGAAGTATTTTTCCCATAGGGGTTAACTCTTCATTAAAGAGTTGTAAGCATGAACAAAACCAACCAGCTAAAATCAGTTCCTCTCTGGAGAAAGGAATGGGAATTTTACATTTGGAACCAGATTGTTGCACTTTATTAAACATCAATCCTGAACTTGGAGACACTGATTCCAATAAATGGATGTTAAGAAACATGATATTGTATGAAAAATTCAGTCAATTGAAGTTATGTTTTGTGGCACTTACAAAAAGTACCATGGTACTGAAATTCTATGGTGTACTATTATGTTTTTGAAAATGTACCATAGTAATAGTTTTTTTTATACATGTATCGTATTTTTTAAGTAGCTTAAATAAATATGAAACACAATTCCTATAATAAAAAGTACTATGGTGGAAACAGTAATACCATGGTAATTTAAGATATTTCCAAGAATTTCATTTAGAAGCACCATGGTAAATATCCCAAAAAACATTTTGTTAGATTTTTTTTGTAAGTGATTTCCATGATATATCTTTGAGTTTTTATTCATAGGCTGGTGCATTCTGGTCCAGATAAGGGTTCACCACAGCCTGGTGGCGAGCTGTGCTTTGCTACACGGACGGGAACCAGATTGGGTATCGAAGCCCACCTTTTCAGGGCAGAGACCTGCAAGTACCTGTCACTCTGGACCAGACACATAGTCACTGGCTGCCACGCAGCTGCTGAGATGATCAAAGAAGTCACTACCAGTGAGTATGGATTCTACTTCTGGCTCCTTTCACAGGTTTTATGGCCTGTCCACACCAACACTTAAAAAAAATAAAGGTTCCAAAAGGGGTTTTCACATTTATGCCATAGAACAGGGGTGTCCAAACCTGTTTCTGGAGGGCCACTGTCCTGCACCATATTTGGATCCCCAAAGAACCTTTCAGTGAAAAGTTCTTCAAAGAGCATTGCTTTTTCTTCTTTGTGGATATTAAAGGCTCTTAATGGAACCACAATAATTAACCTATTTTTAAGAGTGAAGGAACAATTCTAGCATGAAAAAAGTAGTTTAATAATGAAACTGCATCTTTATGGACTCCTCAATTGTGAAAAAAAATAAATAAATAATATATATATATATATATATATATATATATAGGGGAAATTACTTTTAATTATGCAGGGGAAAATGTTTGTGTATGAATCACAGCAGTGCATAATTCATCCTATCATGAATAAATGTATCATTTCATCATCAGGATGAAAGAGTATGAATGCATGCATGAATCAAACTCATTCTGAACACCAACAATTGCTCAGGCTGTCAATGTGAACTTGTATTCCAGTTGTTTAAAATACATATATCTATATTTACAGATGGAAAAAGAGTGGTGGAGCTTCAAACATCGTTATTTTCCCTATATATATACAGTATATATATAAATTTAGCATCAGGTATTTCACACATTTGTAAATGTATAACAGACTTTCGTGTAATCAGGCATTTATTGTCCAAATATCAGTAGTAGTGGATACAATCTGCCATCAACTTTTCTCTGTAGCAAGTTTGTTTTCTGTCTTAGTTAGCAGTAGTCTGGAACTTTGCAGTAAGTGTTGATCCATGTTGGCCCAGGATTTCATTTATTTTCTTGCACAATGTTGTGTTTATATTATTTTTAGGGCTATCTTTCTTGAATATGATACACATACTTATGTCAAATGTAGATTTGTGGGTACTCGAAAACTTCCATGCAAAGATAAATGCATCTTGGTCATCTGAGGTCGTGGTCCATGGCTCCAACTCTACTGTGAATTTGAAACGTTCTGTGCTGCACTGCAATATTTCTGAGTTTTGGATGTGCATTAATCATATTGCAGTCGATTAAGAGTGTAAGAGTGTATTTTTAGAATGGAATGCTATGGCAGAGTTCCTGTGTGGTTTCAATGCAGCAGGCAAGGGGCACCGAGCAAAGCATTCTGGGAATTGAAGCTCTCAGGCAGCCCCCGAGCCTGGACTGATAGGAAATGTATCTGCCATTACTGAACTGCATGTGAGCCCCTGGAGATCACTGCGCCTTATTTGGATATTTTGCAGTTTTCCCCTTCTGTCAAATATTTTCACAGTTCTGAGATCAGGCTTTGAGATATTTCTACTTAACCTACAAAGCTGCAATGGCAAGTAGGTTAAACTGAGCAATGATTAATGTTGATTTTATTGTCATGAGTTAAGCATGTTAACAGTGCTGTGAGAACTTCTGAAAGAAACAATAAAAATAGACTGACCTTGTTACAACACGTCACTCTCTAATTAATACATTTGGGAGAACATGATGATTACTTTGAGTTTGTAAGAAAAGAGCAACAGTGCAGATCCTCTCAAAACAAACCAGACACATTTAACAACGAATAACACGTTAGACTGGATTTGACATTTGTTCCCTTAAAAAGATCCTGTTTGCGTTAGAATCTTAGAGCTGCTCCATATTTGAGTTTTTATGGGAAAGACCCATTTGGCAGCTGATGCTCTATTTACCTGCGTTTAGTCTAATCTTATAATCTGTTCAGAGAATTTGTCTCTCCAAAGATGATTTTTTTTAGTTCTCATTTTGTGGGACGTCATATTTTTTTACTGCAGACCACAAGAGTCTAAAATCCTCTTTCAGCCTGTAATGATAAAAAAGTCACAATAAAAAAATTAGAAAAAACCTAAGGGCAAATGAGAATGTAATACAATTTATTATTATGCTGCTGCTGATTAATTTTAGACAGCTCACTGAACAGATTTATGGTGCACTCTGTGTGGATAAATATAAAAAATGTTAAATGCTAAATTAATAAATATAAGTGCTAATAAAAACAATTTAATAAATACATATAAAAAAAATCTGACAACTATAAGCCATTTGTGTTGATTGCTCTAAAACATGTAACATGCACTTTCCACATTTCTTTTATTTGCACGGCCCAATACAGCAACAATTTTCTGGCTCCATTTATAGTATAGTATCTGTAGTGTATGTATTATATTGTTGGGTTTTCTTCTTCTCTTTAGATGTACTTTCAGGATTACTAAAAAATTATATAAAGTAAATGTGGTGTTATTACTAATTTGGTAAAGATAAGCCTGCATAGTCACATGAGGAACACTAAATTGCTGAGTTACTGAATTATTGCAAAGCTGTTAAGAGTTAGGAGGCCGAACAATTTCTATGCTAAGCCGTTGATGGAGAAAGAGAGGCAGTTTGTGACTGACTAAAAGCCCATGTGGTGGGAAAGAGTCCCTTAGTCTTGAAAATCAGTCCGTTTTGATGGGATAGGTTACAGTATTGTTAAGAGTAAAATGGGAACAGAAGTCCGAAATCCCCTTTTTAGGATCCCCTCACCCAAAGTTCGTAATTAATACATGTTTGAGTATTTAATGTCAGTGTAATTCCAATTTAATGGGTAAACTGCAGAAGATGCTATTTCATTGCTGTGATGATCTAATCAGCCTAATGGACTGAGCTGAGGGGTTTCTCAAAGATACACAATGTGAAAAGGACACACTAGCCTCACAATTACCCGGTCAGAGAGATTCAGGGAGCTTTATTGGGGCAAATGGAGGGAACAGCTGAAGTGAATCACTGGCACGTTCACAATAGACACAGTAACAGTAGGTTTCCACACACCCTGTGGTGCCTGATGAGCTGATGATACTGGATACATGGAGTCCTGTGATGTATTTGATGAAACCAGGGAGGTATTGAGCAGGGATTACTGGTGATGAATAATGTACCAATTATCAGGCGAATCAAAGGACATCTATATCACAAATGGAACCCTTTTTAATTTTATTCGCACCTTAATGGAATGTGCCGTTCCATTAGTACTTTAACTCTTAGGCCCCGTCCACATGGAGACGCGTTTAGCTGTATACGCATAAATTTTGTATCGTATAGGCGTTTCGTCCACACGGATCCGGCGTTTTGGGAGAGTGAAACCGATATTTTTTTAAACCGGGTCCCAAGAGTGGATAAATGTGAAAACGCCACCCTTGCGTTTTCGTGTGGACAGCGAATCCGTATATTTTCTGAAACGATGACGTCATCAGCCCACGTCTCTCCCCCTAGTCAGACACCGCTACGTCACGTAACAGCAACAAAAACATGAACAAACACTGAACGATTGTCTTTTTATTAAGTAACATTAACACAGATTAATAAATGTATTGTTCCATGTTCGTTTGTATACCGCGCGCAAGGTTTATGCGCATAGCCCAAGTCTTCTTCTCCATTTTTAGTGTATCTCTG